GGGAGCGCGGCATCTTCTCGGCTCAGAGCCGAGGAGAGCACCACCAGCATCATCACCACCCACGGCTCCCCAGCGTGGAGGAAAAAGTGCCTGTGATCAGACCCAGGAGGAGATCTAGCTGCGTATCCTTGGGGGAAACTTCGGCCAGCTACTATGGCAGCTGCAAAATGTTTAGGAGACCCTCGTTGCCTTGCATTTCCAGAGAGCAGGTAGGTTTCTCTGAAACTGGAGGGAGAAACTTTCAGAGGAATGAGCGCCGCTCGCTTTTCCTAACTGCTGTATATGTCTGTGCTGGATGTCTGCTAACTGTCAAACTCCTGTTAGAGGAGTGGAGGAAAATGTTAGTCCCTTGGCGGGTTTCTCAACTCGCTTCTGCAGAATCGATATAATCCTTTATGTCATTATAGAAGCTAAATCATAATAACGTATTTGCTATAGGACAGAAGGTTCGCTCGCTTTTCATACGATCTTAAATATTAAAAAGTAGTTCTTATTGATTAAAACAAAACCCCCAAACCAAACATCTTCCGCTATCAGCTGCCTTGTTATTTTGATTGTTTCTTTTCCAAAGCCCACCACCTCCTCCGCTTCTGGCAGACTTTACAAGAGAAAGAAGCCACAGCTTTCTAGCTGCTCGGCACTTCAGGTTCTTCCCGCTTTCTATCGACAAAATGATTGCTAAGTGCTAAAGAAAAAAACAGTTTTTGAGGGATGTTAATTATCAAATGTTGGCGTTGTGTGAGTGGCAGCTGTCCTTCTGCCCTGCAGATTACTGTCTCTTGTTTCTCTCTCTCCTTCTCACCCTCTCCTCCTCGCTCCACGTAAATTGACATTAGGTGTGGATTGATGGGATTTAAGAAACTTCTTTTTACTGAAGAGAGAGCTGTTCAGTAGAGTCTGGAGGGATGCCCGAAACGCTCAGTTTTCTTGAATGGAACTCTGTTGGTTCTACCTCCCGGAAAACTTTTCAATGAGTCTTGTTTTTTGTAGCGCAAACCCCCGTGTGGGAGGGGAGTTTGTTTATATTTGGGAACTTGCACGTGAACTGCAGGAACATCGCGTTGTGTTGCCGGTGGGACTGGCCCGAGGCTGCTGCAAGCGGATTATCAGCCCGTTACAGGAGGGAGAGTAAGGGGAGTGTATTTAATAAACGTGCAAGCGGACAGTTTCTGGGAAGTGTTTGTTGCTGCAGGATGCCCCATCTACTACTGTTGTGGCTGAAATTCATGGATAGCAAATGAAATTTTCTAATTTTGCTTTGACATGTATTCCGCAATGTACTTCTTGTGATTGACTGTGAAATAGGTCTGAGGAAATAAGAGGTGAATCTGAAACGGTGGAGTAGTTTTCGAGCATTTCTTTCCCTTCATTTGCACAATAGAATAATACAGCAGCAATTATTTTTGCGTAAAAGGTTAAAATGCAAGTATGCTGTAACAGGCTTCAGAAATAATTCATTTAATAAGTTTCAAATTATCTAATGCATACTATGAAAGAAACATTAAAATATTGTACTAGCAGTTAAGATATGTAGGGGATATTGTATAATAATTTACTTTCTCTGTTCCTTTCTGGATAGTAAATGCTCTCTTTTTCTGTCGCGTTTGTCTACAATACAAAAAAACTCAGAAAATATGATAACATCTTTCATTAGCCTTTCTAGATGATAGAAGATATTTGTTCTTATGCAAGTTGCTAAATGCTTCCTTTGATATTCGGCTCACTTCCCAAAAGCATGCGCATATTTGGAGTTAAGGCATTTATTATTCTTTAAGTAACATCATAAATGTCAACCATAACTAAATACATAGAATTTATTGGCAGTACTTAAATCATACGTGTTCATAATAAAATGTAACTGTTTGGTAGACTTCCAGGATTTGATATCTTTGTTATCACTAGAAGTGAACAGAAACAACAGAGATCTGAAGTTCTTTATTTTCCTAATAGTCTATTATGCTTTACAATAAATATTTGTGCTTTATTAAGCACAGTTTAAATGGGATTCGTAGACACATGTTCCGTGCAGTATTTTATATGTGATTTTATACAGATAACACAGGTTAAATCCTCTGATCTCCTGTCTGACTTGGAGAGAGGTCAGACATTGCAGAGCTGATAAAACATCAATTGTTTGGGCGGGACAAGTAAGCTTATAATGTGTGACTTTATTTGAATAAACACTACTAGGTTTTTATATTGCTTCCTTGAAACAGAAGGAATGTATGCACTTAATGCTTTTCAGAGACCATTTATTATGTTAATTGTCTTTAAAGATTGATTGCATGTTTTGCAGATCTTTATAAAATATTACAATGATTCTTTTTCAATATTAGTATTTTAAGATAGTGGGTTTAATGAGCTTTGTTAGGAAGATCAGTGGAGTACAAGGAATGAGCTACAGGTCCACCATGACGAGAATACTTTGATGAATGAGAGCTAAGTTGCTATTGGGATTCTATTAGATGTGTTTTGTGTAATTGTTATGAACCTCTTGTTTGTAGAGGTTTGTATGAACCTCTTCAAGCAGGGGCACATAAGAACAAAAAAGGCAGATGTAGATTTTAGTTACTCTTTGAGGAAAATAGGGAATGCTAGTATTCCTTAAGTTTTGAGTCACATGTTGATTTGAAATTATGCCTGACTCTCTGTCTAGTTAAATACATGAGAAAATAATTACATTGAGTCGACTGTTTTTTCATGAATAAGCTCCAGCCAACAATTCTAAGGGGTCTGTGTGTGGAACAGGTATGTGCAACCAGTTGTGTGTGCACACTGGAATCAGGTGGAGCTATTGCTATTTCTATTTCTGGGCTAGAAGTGGAAAGAGGCCCTGTGAACACGATCTTGTAAACGCTTTCTAATTTGAGAATTCCTAATGACAAATATTTAGATTATTGCTTTCTTTACTTGAACAGGTATGACAACTAGAATGCTGGAAGGTTGCTAAAATTAGATTACCTTTACTTTTACCTTTTATAAAAGTATCCATGCTTACTTCAGCCGCCAAAGTCTACAAGTTTGTGCTGCATGTGGCTTTTCTGTAGTGCATATGGCTAGCAATGTAGTTTGAGGTGGGAGGAAAGAGTCTTGAATAGATTATATCTTTAAATTTTTATGTCAGTATACTTAAATGCAATTATCAAAATATATAGACACACAGAAGGAAGCCATGTGGCTAAAACTAGGGTTAAAACTTGTGCAAATGCAATGTCTTTTCTGAACTCTACTATATTAATACTTCTGCTCACAGAAATTCCTATGATTTTAGCAGTAAACAGGCTTTTTGTATTCTTACTTTAGTATTGATCTTGGACCTAGAGAGGAATTGCTTATTAGCAATATGACTGCAGTATTGGATTGGTATTACAAATTTTGTGTAGATGATGTTTTGATTGCACATATTAATTGGATGCTAATCTGTTAGCTGTACTCATTGCTACTGTTATCAAAGGCTTCATCTTCATTAACTGTTGCATATTTAGCACCTTTTTCTCCCATGAAAGCAAAATCAGAATTGGGAATCTAAAAGGTGCTTGTCAGTATTGCAGATCCTGTAAACACTCTATGTCCTGAAAAATACTGTAGTAAAATATTTTTTTTTCTTTAATATGATGGTGAACATGTGTATGAGAGCTAATAACTATGTGTAGGAACTCATACATAGGAACTTCTCAGAACCCAGAAAGAATATGTGATAAATATACAGGATTTGTGTCTGCAAACAGAGCTGATACTTTTCCTAGCTAGCTGACTAGGTTCAAGCACATAGGAAGGCTGCGATACTTCATGGATAAAGACTGCTTTCATTTTGCACTCTGATAATTACAGGAAGAATTGTCTTGTGGTTAGTTTGTTGGATTGACTGCCACCTCTCCCCAGTTTCTGTTCCAATCTATCTCGTACCTTTGATGCATTACCGTAGGAAGATAAGGTAATTTTTCAAGAGTTTAAAATATTTATATAACTTGAAATTAATGCAATTCCTTATTTGCTTAGACAATTTATATCTGTTTCTGTTACCTATTTGTGAAACAAATTATACTTTGTCCTTAAGTACTCAGAGTATAAACTCTCTAGTGCAGAAGCTGTCAGTTAATATGTATTTCACAGTATCTTAAAATTGTTAAATTCCAATACTGTTTGCAGCCTAGAAGCATGTGACCCTTTACCTGTTGATTGCACCAATAGCATAAAAGGTAACTCTTCTTGCTATATATTTGAGAAACTAGCTCTTTGAAATTTTAAGTTTTCCCCTAATGGTGACAATGACTGGAATCGCAAGTGTACCTGCATGTCAAAATTTGTTTCTGTTGTTAAGAGAATCTTCATATCTCTTGGGTTTTTATTGTTTGTCTTATGGGGAAAATCAAGGTAGAAATGTGGGTGTGTTGAGCTGTGAATCTAATCAATTTCAATGGGATGCAGCTGAGTATGAGGAATATACAAAGAGAAGGATTACACAGTGAAGATAAGTCTTGGGAAACTGTTTTTGCAACCATACTTTGGATGAGTTATATTGTTTCTGTCTTGTTCTCTCTGATCCTGACAAAATTTTTTGCACTAGATGAAATGAGAAGACTTTTGGTAAGAGTTGCATCTTTTTTTTTTTTTTTTCCTTCTCTTTCTTTCTTTTTTTTTTCACCCTGAAGTTATATTCTTGAAATATTGTACCAGAAAGAAAGGATGGTTTGAGCTTGGTCTGCCTGTAAGAGACCTGTAGAGAGGTCAGAGTCTAAGATGGTATCCTCTGGTAACGTGACTGCCAGGACTATACAGTGGTTCACAGAGAATGACAAAGAATGGTATTAGGGAGACTGAGTGCAGTCAAGAATTCTGTTAGCTAAGTTTACCTTATGCTGTTTTTTAGATATCCAAGACCTGGTGGCAATTCATGTTCTGGACACAAAAGGTATGCTAAAAGCAGGGAAACATGTCTGTAAGTCATCAGTGTAGCAAAGGGGGTTGACTGTTTCTGCAAGTGTGGTTTCTGAGAAAGAAAATGTAAAAGGAGAAAGGAAGGAGGTCAAAGACAACTGCGGTGGAAATGCTGGAGAAATTTGGAGGAAGGTGAGGATGGCCTATTACAGGAGTGAGGAGAGCACCAGGAGGAAAGAAATGGAGGAAGCTGGGAGAGAAAGTTGCAAGAACTGTGTGACTGTGTTGAAGAAAACTAACAGGATAAATTGGATAAAGTACTAATTTTCAG